AAGAGAGACTCCGCCCCGTTTTGCTCAGCCTGGCAGTTTTGAATTTGAATATTCCCAGAGGTGGAAGTCTTTAGATGAAATGGAAAAACAGCAGAGAGAGCAAGTGGCAAAAAACATGAAAGATGCCAAGGACAAACTTGAAAGCGAGATGGAAGATGCTTATCACGAGCATCAGGCAAACCTCTTGCGTCAAGGTAATTGGCTCTGAATTCTGTATGATCTTTTTGCTTTAAATGCTAGCTTAAATGTATGGCTGTGTAATGAATAAATTCATGCTTCTTACTGCTAACTTGAGAATTTCAGTCTTAAAGAAGAGTAACTGGTAGTTTTTCAATTTTTATTTCAATGAAGTCTTGTTAAGAATAGTGATGCTCAGAAGGTAGCTGTCTGCCATAGTGCAGGCGAGGTTGATCTAATTCGAATCTGAGTTTAGATCTGACATGAGTTTGTGAAATAGCTGCTGACAGGCTTCATTTCTGCAGATCTTATGAGGCGTCAGGAAGAGCTGAGACGTATGGAAGAACTCCATAATCAAGAAATGCAGAAACGCAAGGAAATTCAACTGAGGTTGGTTTGGCTTTCATGGGATTTTTTTAATATTATGTTTGTTTTTTGTTTTTTTAAATGACTTATATATGAAAGTTTTTATTTTTCAAGAAACACCATTGCTGCTTCACTTTGTGTATGAGAAATTGAACTGCAGTGTAAGTTTTTCCTTGAGTATTTGAGCATCATAGAGTATCTGGTTTAGCTTGAGTGTAATCATTCAGTGCCTTTTAAATTGCTCGTGCAAGTGATGTTGATGTGTTGAACAATGTTACGCTCCTGGGGTTTAACAGTCTGCTTTGGGATGATCAGGCAGGAGGAGGAGCGTCGCAGGCGGGAAGAGGAAATGATGATACGTCAGCGGGAGATGGAAGAACAAATGAGAAGACAGAGGGAAGAGAATTATAGTAGAATGGGTTACATGGATCCAGTAAGTGCAATCATGATATTTTTTGGATACATTACCATGTTCAGGAAACTTTTTGATGTATTTTCAAGATTGATGCGTTTTGCTTCCTTTAGGTTAGATAATGCGATGTCTTTGTGTAGGTGAGATGGTAGTAGTTGGCTGTACATGTGCTTTGTCTCCTGAAAGGTATGGATTTCAGTAGTTGATTATCCATGCTGAAACTTGTTTCTTCTATGCAGAGGGAGAGAGACATGAGAATGGGTGGTGCCACCACAATGAACATGGGAGGTAAAGAGTTTTTAAATAATTACTCGCTGTGGTTAACTTAGAAATTGTCAGAATATGATTATATATTTCTCTTTCTTAGATCCTTATGCTTCTGCAGCCCAGAAATTCCCACCTCTTGGAGGTGGTGGCGGCATAGGTTATGAAGCTAATCCAGGAGTTGGCCAAGCAGCCATGAGTGGTTCTATGATGGGAAGTGACATGGTAATGTATCCTGTGGTGGCTTTAGTTTAGCACAAGGGAAATGTTGTGGTTGGGAATTGAGTTCTCTACCAGTGTTCCGATGGCTGTGTAAATTTCACTGTTAACTGCTGACTTTCTTGTCAGGTATTTAATACGAAGACTAGTGTGGCAGTATGTAGTACTAGATTAGTTCTTAACCGTTATGGTAGCTTACACAGTCGGAAGTTGTTTGTAAGTAAATTCAAATGTGCTGTTAAGCATATTTGCAATTAACTCTGACTTTATTGGACTTTGGAAATTCTGCATCACTGTTAGGCTTGGAAGGATTTTTTTTATAAATTCTAGAGAATCTGACAAATTTCATAATTAAAGTACATATGTAGTAGCTTTTCTGTAATTTGACATTCTGTGTTTATGGACAAGAGATACTTTTGTTCTCCTTTCCAATCTGTAATATTGCATTTATTTTGGCCCTTCCAAGCCTAGTTAGGATTGATGCATGTTGGTATGGGTATGCTCTTAATTCAAAAATCTGCGCTCATGTCTACTTAAGCAGCAGATTAACTTAATGGTAAACAGCATATCACTTACTCTGTATGCTGATGTTTGCCATAGAAGAGCAGAAATGCTGTTTTTTTAGCTTTAGGCATATTCCAGCGATCCTTGACTGTAGCCATTTTGTGGTTCCTATCTCACAGAGGAATACTAGCCCGTTCTCGTTTCCCTGTGTTGGGCATGACTATATAGGTAGAGTTTGTTAAAGCTATGGCATATCTCATGTTCCGAGGTATGTTTCCAAACTGTACTATTTTTGGCACACCATATGTGTGAATGGGCTTGGAGCCTGCTTGGTGTTATCACACTGAAGCAATACGGGTGTAGATGAAAGAAATGCTTAATGGGTAGGACGGAAATTATGTTGGTTTAGGTGGCGATATTAGTGTGCTTTCACCCTCCTCAAAGGGTGTACGCTCTGTAGCACAAGCTGAAGTAAATGATTTTTGGGTGGGTTTAGGCCTCTGGCTTAATGTGGTGAGCTACCATAGTAGCTTGTCAGATGTCTTCCATTTTTTGGGGGAACCATATCTTTGGAATGACAACTTTGCAGAGCATCATTGATTCAGTAGACAGTGCCGGTGGCCTTAATGTATCTATATAATCTACTGATATTTAAGCAGTTCCTAAGTTTCCCGTGAACAGTTGGGCAGTCTGTGGTGAATGCTGTGTACATTTTTCTCCTGAAAATCATGGTACAGGTGCATGCTGAACTTGTGTAATACTTGAAAACGTGATATGGTCAAAAGGTGTGACAGTAAGATGGTTTAACTGCCTTGAGTTTCTTAGGATGGGGATCTCTGCCACACAGTGCTGTCACAGTTACTGGGCTGCTATCTTTTGAACAGAACTGGAGATAAGCTTAAGCTGCCATGACTTAGGCAGAAAGAACCTAGATAATCTTTCTGAAATTCCTTTCTTGGAAGGATTGAAACTAACTTTCAGAAGGCAAGAACTTGAAGTGTGAATTTTCAGTTGGAGATACCTGTTGTAACAAACAACCCACCATTGTTCTGTTACTTGGTAGTGGAAAACTTGCTTGAAATCAAAGTTTAAAGCTATCTTTGACTTTATAATTTGTCAGTTCTGTAGACTGAATGCTGATCACACCTACTGATACAGTAACAGAATGAAGTACATGCAACTAGAGGTACTAGTAAAAATACCTGAAGTCTCTGCTTTATTGCAGGGTAATTTAGTTTTTACGTCTTGGTGTGAAACCTTTCAATGCTGTGAAGTTGTGAATTTTCCAAGAGCTTGTGGTGAAGGTGGGGTGGGAAGGGAGCTATTGACTGGATGCACACAACCCTTTGTGCATAGTTCTAACTGGAAACACTGAATAAATTGTAGTTCTTTGAACACGTTTTGCATATGATACAGCAGCAGTTCCGGAGTATGTGGGATTTAACAGATGCAAGTCTTTTGATCGAGCAATTGCGTTGGTTAGGTAAATCACTGGTCATTAGCTTTTTTCACATTTTTTTTTCTTCTTGCAATCCAGTAGTGCTCACAATCAGTTTTGGTTACTGCCTAAGGCCTCTGCAGTTTAGTCAGCAGACCGTAGTCTTAACCCCATCTTGAAAAGCACATGGTCTCTATTGCAGCACATGCCATTAACTGGTGAGTAGGCATTCTGTTTACAATGACATTTTATGAATGTCAGCTCATACTTCAGTGAACTGAAGATTCGTTCTCTGGCTAGGCTTATTTGGAAATGACAGTGATGTAATCTAAGCTTTTACTGCACTAAAGGTGAGAAGTTTGCAAGCTATTTGCATTAACTTGGTTGAAAATTGCTAGAGCTCATTTGGAAAAGTTGTTAATTCACATCTGCACTAATGCTTACATTTCTAGCACTGCAGGGAGGATCTGTTCTTTGTAACAGATGTATGAGAATGCATCAAGTGGGAACATACCTCAAGGCATGTATTACAATAAACTAATTTTTAAATTACCCTTTTTTCCTTTCTATGTTCCCGGTACCTGTGGATCGGCTCAATGGTGATTGTATCGACGAACCTTGACTGCGGAACCTTCTAAAAATATATACTTAACACACATGGACATCAACTACATATAATGAACTGTTAATTCTGTTCCAATAGCGTCCTGAACGCTTTGGGCAGGGAGGTGCGGGGCCCGTGGGTGGCCAGGGTCCTAGAGGAATGGGGCCTGGAACACCAACAGGATATGGTAGAGGGAGAGAAGAATATGAAGGCCCAAACAAAAAGCCCCGATTTTAGATGTGACCTGTAGTTTCATTCCAGTTTGTTTTTGTCTGTCTTGTTTAGACACCAACTTTTTAATTCTTGCATTTTAGTAAGAAAGCTACGTTTTTATGGATGTTAGAAACTTACTGACCTAATATTTGTAAGTGGTCTGTTTGGGCGAGTACAATTTAATTATGTAATGCAGTGTTTCAAAACAAATTTAGCTGTTTTTTTGATGTATAACGTCCCTAATTTGATGGCAGTGTACCTTGTGCCACTGAATTCCCAAAGTGTACCAACTTTTTTTTACTGTGCTTCAAATAAATAGAAAACTAAATGTAGTAACTCTTCTTGCCATTCGTGGTTAAACATATGAGGCTAAATACCACACCTTCCGCAGTAAACCAAGAGTCTTGAGTAGAGGTCAAACTAGACCAGGGTGTGGAACTGTAGCGAAGAGTGAGATCTCTTCCCGTAATGCCTCTAGCTTACGATTGGGTCAAATAGTAGCCTAACTTTGCAGTAGGTGCAGGTTTTTTGAGCATTAATTGTGCTGCAATAAGGAAGCAAATGGAAATCTTGCAAGTGCTGTAAGATACAATAATTAAAGCTACACTGCAAGCAGTGCAGTATGTAATGAATATCCTATTTTAGCTATGGATAATGGGTGGTGGGATGGTAGCACTTACCACCTTGGCAGTTACTGCTTGGAATCTTTTAAAGACTTTAAGCAGAAGACTAGCAATGGTTATTTTAAAATAAATTCATAGAATGACTTGTATTGGCTGACTTCCTAACTAAAGGATTGTTAATGTGATATTTATATGCTCTTACGCTGTCTGAGATTACAGGATCTGGCCTTGCTCCGTATTGTATACTTGCCTGAAATTGCTTGGCAAAAAGACCAGAAGTGTTACTTAAGTGATTAAGGTTAACTTGCTTATGTCCTCATGCTAATTGAGTGGACTAATTTGCATAGTTCAGAATACAATTATTTGTATTATGGGGACTGCAGGAACTATTCTTAAATCATGTAGCTGGTGGGCAAATCCTAAAAACCTGTATGTAAAATACAGAAATTAGCTTGCTTGCATGATGGTTATCGCTCTTTTATTATTGATGTTTGGAGATAATGCATCAAAAGTAGTATCTGAATCTGGAGTTTAATAGTTAATACTACACAGTACAAATAAACTCCCTTTAAGGTTCTTCTGTAGAAGATCTGATGAATTCGTTAGCTTGCTGTTCATTTTATTAAGCCCCAGAAGAATTTCACAGCATTCTGGACTCATTGATAAGGTAGTTGCTTTGCTTATTACTACATTGTACCAGGTAAGCTGGGAACGTGGCTTCCCAGTGTAAAATAGCTTGGTGTTAATGCAGGATACATCAGCCTGCTTGGCACAAAGTAGGTAAACTTAGCTTGGCTGTACCTTCACACAATTCCCCAACTACTGAGCATTCTGTGAGTAGCTTTAATCTTCCAAAGATCTTTCCATTCCTTGTGCTAAGCATTGGCTAATTCTAAATTCTATGTTAAATTTTCTCTGCGGTTAAAACTTTAGCGTCAGATTGCAGTATTTTGGAGTGCAGATGATCCCTCTTGAAGTACTCACTGTAAGTGCTGTTACTCCTTAAATGAAAAAATAGCATGTTGTGAAATGCTGATACCAGGTAACACTGACTTGGAATACTAAGCGCACTAAATAGCGACTCAGCTTCTTTGGTGAATGCTTCTTATTTTCCCAGAAAAGTTTGGGGGTTGATAACATGCTACAACAATGAATTGCTATTCAGGAAATTCTGAATTGGCAGTTCCTAAACTGCGGACCAAGTATTTGGGAGTACTTGTATTGGATACTTAGTTTAAAAATCAGCAGTACCGATATAATTTGCTTTATTGAAGTAGTAATAAATAATGCATATGTTTTCTGGAGGGTGTTCGTGGGACACCCGCAAAAGATGAAGGTGTCTGAGATGGGGAATTCTGAACGTAAACATTAAATTAATTTTTTCAGTTTATTTTTCAGATTACATGTCATTCTTTATTAAAGAGATGCTGGTGCATATCCTAAAGTATGTTCTTTTGTAGTTCTGTAACTTGGAACGAGTGAAGGATGCTGATGTCCTTGTACCTTACAGAGGTTGTCTTTTGGTACCCCTGTTTTGTACGTAAGCTACTGTTGCTAGGTATTAAAAATAGCTGAGTTGCAAAACCATGATTAGTAAATATATTGAAAGATTTGGCAGTTTTCAAAACATCTGAAAGCTTGGTTAAATCTAGCTTTGTTGTAGCTGCATAAGCAGAATTTCTAAAACAAGTTCTGCTTTGAGTTGCATGTATTAAACAGGCATACAATTAACTAGCCAACTTCTTTTCAAGACCTTTTAAAGGTGGTGTCTTAAAAGCTGGCAAACATGTCAACTTTAAAATTGATAAAGTTGTTAAATGTGGGAGGCGAGAAAGTTAAGTTCCTTTGATCTGTTCCTATGAGGTTTTGGACTTTTTTCATAAAATCAGATGTACATAATTGAATCTTTAAAACCATTTAGAAAAGTGCTTCGTTGGTCAGACCTGTTTTTGGATGGTCTGGCTCACATAACACATTTTTGTACTGGACTTGGAGGACATTGGCTGTTGCAATTTAGCTTGCTTTATCAAAATTGAGCCCATTTTGACACTTAGATCTCTAAAAACTGCAGCATGTAGAAACTGGTATCGTTATACATATATCTTCACGCTTTCTCAGAAATGAATACAGAATAATCTTTATCTTCTGGTGTAGACACATTACACTAATCATTTATACAGCTGATGAGAAACTGAAACTGCTTTTGAGATTTTGTGGTATTTTTGTGGTAGAAAAATTCTTGGCTTCTCCTTGGCAACCATTTACTGTGGCAGCAGGTTTTTGCTGGAGTTTGAGACTGCAATTTACATTTAAAACTAGTGGCCTGCTACATAACTGCACTTAGCCAGCATTTCTGCAGTTCATAACTGTGAGGAACGTAGTACCACAAATGGCAATGGACATTAGGACCCGGATGTAGTATTCCTGCTTGCTCCAAGATTCTCATTGCCGACTGCGTACAGGTAGGTAACAAGCAATATAATATAACTTGGTGACTTTCTATGTAATCTTATACTGTGGGTATTCTGACATCACACTTCTGACTGTGGAATTACAGTGCAGCACTCTTCATACCTGTATGTTAAGCTTGCATCAAAGCTGCGTGGTTTTCGGTTTTAAGCTTTGTCTTGTTCAGAGTCAATAAGCAACTTTACTGTGATTCTTAGATAAGTATTTTCAGACCCGATTCCTTTGTGCATATGACTCGGCTTGTGTGGATTTTTCTTAGTTCTGATGTAACGAAGATATTCTTAGAATGAGCTCTGTGGGGAAGAGGGAATGTGATCTTAACACTCACTTTAAACTAGTCAACTAGGTGCTATCAGTGCCTAGAAAAGGACTGTTTAAACTTTCTGTAGTGACAAAATGGCCAATCTGCAACGCATCCCTTTGGTAGAGTCTTGGCTCGGTAGGAAATGCGTTAGTAATCACTGCTCTAGCCTTGTGTGCACTACGTGATAGTCACTTAAAGCTTGCTAATACAGTCAGCTTTGAGACTGATGTGGAATATTTTTGAGGACATACAAATGAGTGCTTGAATGAATATCCCCGTGAGTAGTTTCATAGAGCTTATTGGACATTTCAATGTTGTCTTTATTTTAATCTTTGATTGACAAGCATAATACATTCCTCTGCCTTTAATTGACAGTGATGAGATTCTGTATTTCTGCCTCGTAGAGTCATCTTGGTAGTGTAATGCTCAATTTCATTTTTCATCAGTCTTGGGGATGTAATTCTAAACTCTTCATTACTAGAAATACTGAATGTAGTTTTTCAGGAGTAACATGCTTACATTTCCAGACATCCAGACATGCTGATCTCCAGCTCTCTTGCATAGCTCTTGAACCTGAATTTCAAAGTCCCTTGTTTCAGCACATGATCTAGCTCTTGTCTGATGTTCAGTTTATTTCAGAGGTGTTGTAACGTGTTTTCCCACTTGTTCTGCAAAGTTCTGCTTTGCATACTTGTTTCTGGTATTATTGTCACGTTTGGACCCTTCTGTGTTACCTTCCAGGCAAGACTCTTGCTGGTGAACAGGGGATCTGCTGGACAGCCTTGCCCTCTGCTGTAGCTATCTTTTCATGTTCCATTGAAAGCCTGAAGTAGCAGCTGCACCTTAAGATCATAACAACAGGTCTTTGGTTACACCACAGTGAGTGTAGCCGAACTCTAGCTAGTCAAGCAGTGACACCACTTGTCACAAAGTCAGTTTGGCTTTTCGTAATGGCTTACTCCTACCTGTGACTAGAATTCAGGAGCAAAACTGATGGCAGTATGCGTACTGTCGTGTAGCAAAACTGAATTATTAATCTTTAAACCAGTGCTCAGATCTAACTAGTTTTTCCAGTGTGCTCTGGATACTTGACTTGACCTGCAGGAATGTTGTGGAGGGGTTATTGGCACATCTGCCTTGTTCTACATACTTGAACTAGCAGATTTTTGCCATTCTTGGAGCAAGCAATTTGTGACTGAACCATGGGTCTCATACCAGCTCTGACTGTCTGCAGTAATGAAACTTGGTGTGGTAGCTAACTTAAAAGCAAATAGTCATGTCTGCTCTAAGTCAGTCTGTAACAAGTGGGTACAAGAAATGACATTAAAGTGCTTGCATTGTGTTTCATCTTGGTTTTATCTGTGTGTGAAATACACTTTTTCTCAAAAGCTGATCAGATGCTCAGAAGTGTGGTGTCAGAATACATATGCGTACCTGCTAGGCCCTCAGATCCAGATACTGGTGCTGTCAGGAGAGAGCACAGCATAGCGTGTATGGGGGCTTTACTGTAACATTAAGCATACAAAGTGTTGATTTGCTTGCAGTTTTCCCCATAGCTAAACACTGAGGCCTGTGAGTAGTTTTAGGACTTGAGCAGTAATGGGGTTGCATGTCTCTGTTAATCATTGCCAGCTGCAGTGACACGATCAGGAAGGCCAGTGTTTTGTTCCATTCTGTTAAATGAGGCTAAGCATGTTGGAAAGGATGCATAAAAAGTATGCTGTTTTGGGTAATTACTTGGCTTCTTCCACTACTAGCAAGTTTGGAATCAGCTAATTAGCTTCAGATTTTTTTTTCTCTCCATACCAGCTAGTGGGGCTCTTAAATAGCTGCTTACTGGAAAAGGAAAAAAAGGGAGGATTGGCCTTCTCCCACCTCTGTCATTGCTGCTAGATAATGATTGACACGTTAGGACTTGGCTGTGCAATCCCGCAGTGGTCTGTGAATACCCCATCTCTATAAATGTTGCTTCTGAACACCAGTACTGAAGAGCTAACTGGGGAGGGCTGGGAGGAGTGTGGCTATAAGTGAATCTGGAGTGTTAAAAGGATGCACAAAGATATAGTATCCCTTATGCATGGTGTTTGTTGCTATGGCATAGAAAACAAAACGTGCATACTATACTTCTGCTCCTGAGGGCCATGATAAAACCCAGGTGGTGGGTTTGAGGCTAAACTTGAACTTCGCCCTGCCTGGTCAGATCACATTGTGACCATGGTGTGATTTGCCTCCCAACTAGAGGTGTGCACGGAACCTGGTACCACTACATCCCTAGCTGCTGACCCTTGCAGTTTGCCCTCAACTTAGCTATACAGCAAAAGGGTGGGTCTTCAGAAGGGAAGAATCTGTTGCCGAGAATAAAAGCAGTAGACTGACGATGCTAACCTCTAGTGTCTTCCTTCGGCTTTTGAAGCACTTCTAGGACTATTGAACCTGAGGGTTGCTAGGAGTCAGGGACATTGCACTCCTTCACGAAGGGGAAGAAAGGGCGTTACTACAGGAGACAAACTAGGGTAAAATAGTTGAAGTAGCTTGACAAAATTGTTAATGCCTTCACATAAGGGATAGTATACCTCTGGCTGCAATCAAACTTCATTGTACTCAGACTGGTGATTTACGGTTTGTGCTCAGACAAGGTGCAGTTCTTCAGTCAACTACCTGCATATTCCTTCATCTCTTTACAAGTGTTTAGGCTAGCCTATTTCTGCCCCTTATTCTTCCACTTAATATTTTGGAATAATTTGTAAATTCCCCCTCATAACTAATCAGTCCATGTATCTTAAAACCTTATTTTTAAGTTAGTTTTGAAATGGTCAGAATTTTCTCTGTATTACTATAATAACTTCAGTTGTTATCCTTTAGGTGAAGATGAAAGCTGAGTGAAACCGGAGTGCTCATCCATGGGAAGTAAGCATAACTTCTAGTCTTGTTCTGAATGGGTGAAAAAAGAAAGGCTTCTGGACATTTGCTGTCCAGTAACTAACTTTGAATTGGTGAATGTTGAGAAATCAGTACGAGTGAATACGTGCAATGCGTAGGGTAGAACTTAGTACCTGCTGTCAGGCTGCAGGGTTAAGCACCAGACTCCATCTGGGCTTGATACCTTGACAGCAGTGGTTAAAAATACCTTTCTAGGTGTGGGTTTGTACAAAAGCTTTCAAAATCACTGTGAGTGTAACTTCTGAATATTTTTTCCAGTTCAGGAGCCGAGCATGAGCACATCCAGCACGATGCCTGCTGACATGTGGAGGGACCAAGATAACAAGTGAACAAGTAAGTAGTTGATAGCCTTGTGATGCTGTAAGAGCTCAGTAGCCTGTCACCCTGTCGGGTATTATGGAGTTCCTGCCTGAAATTTGCCCTTGATACAAAATTTCTGAATCTTTCTTTTGTAGAGCCAAGATATAACCATTGTTGGAGGCTTTTCAGCCCTGCAGCATCAAATAAACTGTCCTCTGAATGCTATAGGTGGTCAAACAAGAAATAACCATTTCTACATTCGGGCTCCACTGAAAGGGGTGTGAATGGGGTGGGTGACTGTCAGTAAGGAAAAAGGGGAACAACAGAGCAGCTGCTTCTCAAATGTTAATCTAACTAAAAGTTGTTAAAAAGCTACTTTTCTGAAATATTTAATGAACATTGAACTGTCAAAATAACCTGGAAGATGAATTAGCACATGCAAGAGCACAAGTGGGTAGTGATTTAGGGAAATAAACTAACTTGCAGAGCTGGAATTAATGAAATTTTCCCTCTAATTTACCACTTAAACTACAAGGGGGAACTTCAGATATTTAAAATCTTGTGTGAGGAGCAACATGCAGAGTACCTTAACTCAGGAACGATGGGTAAGTAGCAGCTTAGATACACCACAACTGAACCTGTAAGACGTGAAGCCAGTGAGACTCAATTGGTGGACTCCTATTGAATCGTGTGTGATTTGTCACTGCCGCTCTTGTCTTTCTGGGTAATAAAACACAAAGCCATTTCAAATCTTTGATATTTACAAAGTAGATGAAAATGTGGATGCTGTCTGTTTAATCTCAAGTCTGACGTGAGAACTTAGGATCCTAGAGAACATTTGGCAGGTGCACGGCCTGTTGTGACACAGTGGTTCCCTTTCCGTGTCATCGTGTGTGATTTCTGCTGGCCTCTTTAATGTTCTTGCTAACTGTGTGCTTTGCACTTGCAGAAGAAGTCCGAATGCAGTGAAGAGGAGCCAGGAACATACATTTTCTAAAAATAAAATATTTTTTTTTTATAAATGACTTGTGTTTTATTCCAGAGTGTATTCAATGAGTAAGCAATCTGTTCAGCCTCATGTGGTATGGAAGGATTTGAGAAACGCTGCCACAAAGGGGGCTGCAGAAGGGGATGCAAAGTGCTTGGAGCGCTGGAGCGAGAAGGGCTTGGGTCGTTGGACCCTGCTCTGTAGTGTGACAAGCGCATGAAAGAGAACCACTCATAACTAGTAAAAACCTGACAAATACGTAATACGGTATTTTTTCCTGCTGGGATTGTGCCATGGGCTTTACTCTTGCAGATAAAATGCTTCAGTTTTCAGGCTAGCTGTATTCCTGACCAGTGTGCAGCCAGAGGTGCTTTTGCTAAATGGGTAGTTTTTGTTGGTTTTTTTATAAATTACACTTGCACTTAAGGCACTTTAAGTATTTCTGGAAGTTTCACCCATTCCTTCCCCCATCCTGAGTCCTGTATACTGCTGTATTTTTAGATCATAGAATTCTAAATGTTCACATGCGCCTGGTTGGTTTTTAACAGTTTTCTTGGTGATGAGTGTAGTAACCAAGCCTGAGATGCCAAAGTTAGAGTTCTTCGGAAGGCAGAAGAGTGCTGGGTTTAGCTCTTGCAGCACAAATTACCATGGTTCGTACTGCTTCATTTGGTTCTTTGGACAGCTGTACTGTGCACATAGGTAGTTCATGCTGTCATTAAATATAATATTTTGTTTAAATACCAGGTAGCTTAGTGTTAAAAGCCAGTGGTAGGCTCTGTTCGTACAGCTGCATTGTAAGAAGGTTTTCCTCTACAGTGGCGTGAAGAGTCGTGAACATTTGGCTGGGAACTGCCTTGCCAGACTAGAAAGATCAAAATAAATTGGATTTAATGTGACAAAATCGTATGAAATATGTGAGACGTGTCTGGGTGCCCCGGTGGTGCGGGATCAGTGCCTGGCTGGAACAACTCACCTGCGCTTTACGTCCCAGCTGGGAATATGTTTTGCTTTGGCTTAAATGCTGTTTGTTTCCTTCCCTCTAGGAAAGTTTATTAACAAAACAGAGTAACCTTGGTCAAAACTGCTGTAGCTACGTTTCTGATGTTCACTCGTTATTTTATCGCAGTAAGTGTAGACGAGCAGCCTGGGTGCCTGCCTCTGCACCCCAGTTTCGGGCTTGGGTGGAGGGAAGGGACCCCGACAGCAGCGGGTGAGAAGGTCACTGCTGCAGGAAAAGCTTCTTGCTGCTGCTTTTCACTTTTTCATGCAATCAAGCGATGGGGTGGGGGATAATCTGAGGCATTTCACTCTGATTTGACTTCTTTATGTTATTGTCTGCATCTTGAAAAGGCTTCAGCAAGAAGAGGTTTTGTGGTTCCTCAATAGCTGCACTGCCAGGGGGTGGGTTTCAGTGTCTTTGTCTCCACAGCCACCGCAGGCTTACGCAGCCTTTTTTTCCTCAAATTCTGTTATTTTCCAGTAACTTGTCCCAATTTCTTTTCCGCTCTTGCAGCATCAGCTGCTTCCTATGTGAAACCGTTCCAGCCTGAATGCGATTCCAGCATTCAAGGTGCTGAACTTCACCTCCTACAACTCCCTTTATAACCAAACCCTGGTTTGCTTTCCGGAGTGAAATGGGATGTGTGTGAGGGGGAAAAAAAAAAAAAGCCCCCTGATTCCTCTATTCTCTCATCGCCTGGTAGACAATGAGCACAGAAGTTTTCTCTCAGGGCTGGGGGCTGTGCCAGGGCGATTGTCCTCTGGCTGGTAAAGCCGCTCGCTTGGTTCTACCCAATGTTTCATTAAACAGCTCCTGTAATTAAAAATAGAAAAAAAATTGGGGGCTGAGAGTAGGTACGAGGTACCACGTGGATGGTGGCAGAGTCCTGTCCCAGCGCGGCGGCAGCATTCAGCTGCCATTGCCCCCTTCTGCCGGGAGGGGCTTGGTCGTGGCACGGGTGAAGTGAGCCGGTGACCGCGGGGGCAGCCCTGGGTGGGCCCCGGCCCCTGGGAAGGGCGAACGCCCTGCAAGGGTTTTGCAATGTTTGCACAAAAAAACCACCTCTGTCCTGGCCGTGAGCGGGCTCTGCTCTGCTGTCGGAGGGAGGAGATGGGATTTTTTTAAGCTGAAGGAAGATGATTTCTGCGGGCGGGTGTCTCCCCGGCTTGCTTCAGCCACCACCGTGGGCGCAGTGACAAATGCTTCCCGCGGTAACGCCAACGCACCGAAGCCACAACCCCGTGTTGTGGGTGCTGAGCTGCCGCAATCCATTGTTCAGGGTGGGTTTAGTTTTTTTTTTTTTTTTTTTTTTTTTTTTTATCCTTTTTTCCCCCCCAGGGGCTTTCTGAGACGAGAGGGGCCGGAGCCTGCCCAGGCCTGTTGCTGTTTATCATCCTTGGGAGCGGGGAGAAGCTCCAAATCGTCACGAGCAGCTCCTTGGCTGCGCTCGCTGCGGCTCTCCCAGCAGAGCCGGGGAGCGATGCGCTGCCAGGAATAAAAATAGTGCTGCAATGGCCATGGCAGCCCCTGCGGGGCCGTGCCGGGGTCGCTGCTGGTCCAGGCCGGCGGTGCCCCCTGTGCCATGCGGTGCTTCCAGGTGCCCGGGAAGCAGTTCCTGCTCTTTCATGATTTATTGGCATTAAAAAAATATTTCCACTTGAATTGCCATAACGTCAGTGCCCCCGTGGCTCCCCCGGGCCCTGGCTCTCGCCAATCCAGGGCTGCCTTTTCCAGGAGCCTTGGCACGCGCCAGCAGCCGAGACGCGCCGCGAGCAGCGCTGGCGCAGGCGGTGACGCAGGCCCGGGGAGGGCTCGGCCGCCAACTCCTTCACCGCAACCGGGCCTCCCTGGTGCCAGGAGAACATCCTTGCTGCAGCTGCCTCAGGAACCAGCTCCCTGCCTGACCCCGCGGGGCTGTGGGCAGGGCGGCCTGCCTGCCTGTGCCGCTGCCTGCCCCGCGGCCCTGCCTGGGTGCTGGCACGGAGCTTGACCCGCTCGCGGCACCCACAAAGCCCCAGCTATGGGTTTGGGGGGGTTTATTAACTTTTTCACATTTTTTTCACCCAGCACTGGTTTGGGGGGGGAATGGTGCTGGCCGGGGGGGGGGATCGCAGCCTCGGGGGGGGGAAGCGGGAGAT